GATTCTCGAGTGCAAGAATCAACAATATATGCGTATACGTGAACGCTAGTGTTAGCGTCAGTATTGTTACGTAAAGCCGAATTTTCGAGAAACTCTCCACATATAATCAACACGACGCTCCAAAAAAAAAGGAGTATCTATTATTGGGTTGCTGTAATTGGTGTGCTGTAAACTTCGTAAGCTATAATTGTGATTAACGCTTATTAATCGGACAACTTCAGATATTTGACCAGGAACATATATATATATAAGTTTCGAACATTATAAACCATTTAACTTCAGTGGATTCACATCGACATTAGTACTTTTACGAAGACATTATATAACTTCAACGGTAAAAACTCAAGCTCGACCTGTAATCGGCGTGTGATCAACTAGGCCCACAGAGCTAGCTAGCTCCCTATTAAGTGAATTGTATCTACATTAACTCGAAACTAACTCGCTCATTGAGAACCCTCGATAAGATATCAAGGAAGTTCTAGATTAGAAATAAGACTTTATATTGCTTGCAAGTTTGTAAAACTTTTAAATATAAATCTTTGTTTGTAATAACTGTTATTGTAAATTGTATTATTGGTTGTATATTAAAATATATTTGTATTAATAAAGAAAACTGTGTGTATCAATCTTGTTGGCAGATATCATAAATTGGATATATATCGGCATTTGTTTAACTACTAAATCCAAATTATAACTTAACTCAGTTTGTAATAAGTAAAGCCATGCCTGTTTATTTGGCGTCAAATGTTATTTCCAGATATAGCTACGTCTGTTTATTTGACGTCAATAACAGGAATACTTCCGAAGTGCTGTTTAATACTTTTTTTGTCTCTCGGACCATATTGATGAGCTGACCTCATTTTCTGTAGAAACTATCTGAGTTGAATGGTACTACTTCCTACATTCCATGAACTAGCAGAAATACCCGCCCTCCGGAAGGTACAACTGCTAGTTCCCGTGGAAGGCTATTGGAATTGTCTTTCTGGAATTGTCTGACAGTTCTACAACAACGTACTTATACTTGACATTCAATAATGTACACTATCCATGAGAAAAAGGATTTTATTGAAATTTTAGTTTTAAAATGAGCTATCATCACAGCATTACATCACAGAGTAGATTTTATTGAAGTATTTCTTTGTAGACGCAGTTATCAATGAAAGTGCCCTACTTTTCTGTTGCAACGCTCATGAGATTTTCACTAAAGAAAAACAAATTATTTTTTTAAGTTTGCTTTTTGATTGTTTTATATTTGAAATTTACTCCTTTTTGTAATTTTTATTGGTTAAATTGAAACTTACTCCTTTTTGTTTGTCATTTTTATTGGTTAAATCTGAAACATGTCATTTTTGTGTAAATTTCAATTGTTTTATTTATTAGTCAGCTATAAAAATACTGCTTAGTTATAAAAATATTAGCCAGTTATAATTGGTGATGATCGGTGCAGTAGTTTCTGAGATCAGAGGTTTGGTGTATACATCGCAAGCTCAATTGTAATAAGATTTCACAATACTGAACATAATTATTTAATCTTTGTTTAAGTGCTGGCGGAATTATGGAACTGAAAACCCTAGAATGAGTTCATATAAATATACTAATTATATACGTGAAACTTCAATTCAAATATATGTATTTGCATTGTATTTCCATAAAGGTAATTGAGAATTTCCTTTTTTCCCCTTCCTATTTTGCTGTGAATTCAGTCCATATAAAATATGTAAATATGATGTTCATAAGATATCGTTATAAAAATAAAATTCACAACTTTAGCGAAAATCGAGCGGTTTGGGGACATCGTATGGTTGTGTAAGAAAACAAACAAACAAAAAATTAAGGAGCAAACTGGGATTTTTAAATTTCGAAATCATTATATTGTTGCGTCAGCGTAGGTCACGTGACTTGTATCACGCCAATTCCTTCTCGAACCTTCATGAAGTGTCGGGAGACTACTAGATCGGGGTAGTCTTGTATATATAAGACCGGCCAAGAAACAACGTAATGTATTGAGTTATTGAACTGTGGACAGAGAGAATATTGTTGGGCACGTGAGACTTTCGTTGTGAATTATAGCATTTGTTATAGAGCGACTGTTGAAATTAAGTGTATCGCAAAGTTGTATTCAGAAAGAATAAACCAGTTTTATTTAAGAAAGGTCTTGTATCGGTAAGTTTCTTCGGTAAGAATTTTTACGGAAAATTAACTAACGAACGGAGATGTAACAATATACTTCAGCTCTTTATAGTAGCAAGTTTCAGGGTAAACCATTCTTTTCACGTATTCTAACAGTTAACTTGCGAATATATACACCTTAATAATGTTGTTTTGTGTTCAAAAGATGAAGTTTCTTTTAAAAAAAGAGCTCGTGCAAATAATTGCTATAATAATTAGCTTACCAGAACACTTTATCATAGTATTATTCCATTGCTAGCACGTTTTGTGTGTATGATATAGGCTTCATTTATCAACAAGACCACACATTCGTTAGAACCTCAACTTCAAAGGAAACATCATATGGGAAAGATCAGGTACTTTGCAGTTAAATGACGTCGTAGGCTTATATGGGAAAAAAACAACTATTTTTTTTTCTTATTAAGCAATTGCACGTGAAGAAGTTCACATTAAGATATCATTGTAAAATTTTTAGAAAGTGAGGCCCAGTTGGCCTATAGGTTAGTTTGGTACTGACGATAATATGTCCATATGTCATTCTAATTATATCAGTGATCAGCTCTAGTTAATTATATACAAGAAACCATTGATCGCAGACACTTAATTGGAACGTGCTTATAAGTTCTAAGCCTAATCTTTTTATATAATGGGATTCTTGCCGAATGTTTTATGTTCAAACTAACTTAATGACAAAGTGGTCATTCAGTTTTTTTAATCATATCGTTATGTGCTCCCAGTTACCCATTATTTGATAAATGATACTTTAAATGTGCTGTAGTTGTTTTTTTAAGTTAAAAGGCTACATAATGAGATATATGTGCTATGCTAATCACAGATATGGAATCCCGATTTTTGGCGTTATAAGTTCCCTAGATATTTTGTAATGAAAGATTAGTAAGTACTAGATCTGTTATGGTAATATGACATTCCTAAGTATCCAAAAGAAAAATTTATGAGCCGTTTTATATCACCAAATCGTCGAGATTGGTGAATAGCTGACACATTTTCTTCTTTTTCTTAATTACTATATGCAGATTGAAGTGTATTTCAATGTGCAGTATTTCACACGTGTACTACTTGCTTTGGAACTTCTAAAGTGAATTTAATAAAATAAAAAGGTATTAAACCTAAGTAAGTGACAAGCACATGACTGTGATTATAAAATCTCAAATAATGCTAGTTGTACTTTTGAAAATACTCTGTATGTATTGCTTTGAACACAGATTTTTCAATAAAGATAAATCTAAGAGCTGTTGCAGCAGTATCATAATCATAAGTTAATTGATAAATAGACATAAAGAACTTTGTTATAATTAACAGAACTAATTAAAAACTAAACATAGTAAGGCTATGTGCCCCCAAACTTCCTAAGGGCTCAGCTGTAAACTTAAGGGTTTATAACATTAAAATTTGGGGTTTGATCACAGAAGTGGGCACAGCAAATATAACCCATTTTTCAGCTATGGGCCAAAGAAAACAAAATTAATTACCTTTGTAAACTTATAACAGCAATATTGGTAATATTAAAGTAATATATTTTAAGTACCTTATTTTATGAATTCCCATACTATCTTGTTTATTTGAGCTTTTATCATTTTCGAAAATGGTTTTTAAAACTTTACTAGAATTTTGACTATTATGTTTTCTTTTTGCTGTGTGTATTTGAACTATTTAAAGTGTATCTAGGATGCTTAGTTTGATTTAAGTAATGAACAATGTTCTGTTTGTTTCTTGGAAGTTGGAAAGTATAAAAGATAAATATTAGATAACCTATACCTTTGAAACGTATTTTTCTAAAATTATAACATTCATGACAATCTGATGATGTGGACCTTTGATAACAAATTAATTTGCAATTGTATTCTTATCTTTAACTGTAAATTTCACTTATTCAAATAAAATATTGATGAGTATTCTTTTATTCAGTGTTTCTCATTTGTATTTTATCCACAGAACTTTTTCTCTAAGAGATCTTTCAAAAGCAACCCTTTGAAACGGACAAAAAGTGTTACCAAACTTGAAAGGAAGCGATGCACAATAGATGGTGACAGGTGTGTGTGTGTGTTTTTATTTACATACGAATATGAAGAAATTTATCCTAGCTCTTCAGTAGTTTTTTTGCATTTTGTGTAATAATATTGCACAATTTTATCTAGTTAAAATATTTAGAGTTACAAAATTTTGGAATTAAAATACAAGCATATCTTAGAATTTTTTTAGTATTATATATAAACATACTTGGTGAACACTTTATTGGGATAGACTTTTTGTATTTGTGCTGATCACTTAACATTAAATTAAAACATTTGGCATTTGTTTAACAGGGACTAATATTTGATGTTTCATTAAAACTAATTTAGTTCACTAATGTGGAATTTTGTTCATCTTTTCTGCATGGTTTCAGTGTTCCACCTTCACGGCTTCGTACCTCTCGGTCCCATGAATCTCTGTTGCAGTCTAGTCCAAGTGTACTGCAAAGGCTGGACCTTTCTCAAGGGGATGTGCAGGTGATGTCACTACATGGTAGTCTTCTGGGTCAAGATCATTGCTTCCAGCTGACCTCTAGTGGAGGGACCACATATTATTCATGTCGCACTGCAGAAGAGAGAGATAAATGGGTTAACAGGTAAATAAAAAATAATGAAGCTACAATTTAAAAGAGTATAGATAAATATTTTGATATGCTTGTTTTCACATTTTAAGTCTTAGTAAAAGAGGCAATTATTCTGAAATAGAAAATATTGTAAATAAATTCTATAAAACATAATTACTGTTCTATTGTATAAAATATATTTAAACTTTATAATTTATAGATAGGGCTAAATGATAAAAGTAATATTTTTTATTTTTAAAAGTTTTTATTTTAAGTTGACAGTTTGTATTAACCAAATTTCATATAAATCTCTTAAAGGCTTCAACATTCCTTATAAAAACAAAGTAACTAAATACATTTTGCTTCTTACAGTTTACGTCAGTCTATTAATCCTCAACAAGATAACGTGAGACGAACAGAAAATTCCCTAAAAATATGGATACTGGAAGCAAAAGGAATCTCTTCAAAAAAAAGGTAGAGTAATTAATGTTTTCTGTTTAATACTGTGTGTATAAAAGTGAATGTTTAAAATATAAAACACAGTGTAATAGAATACATGTGACAAACAAGATGGCCTGTAATTCCATATATATATTGAATCATTTATTAATTTGACATTTTAGCAATAATCTTTCTTACTACTCATTCCCAGAATGACCCAAGTAAGCCAAAGACAAATCTTCGTGTGAACTGCATAAGAAAAGTTTTGTGAAGAAATAATATAACAAAGATATATAACTTGGTAGAGAATAAATTCTGATAAAAGAGTTAACACACTGGATTACATACAAAAGGTGCAATGAATTAAAAAAAAAGACCCAAAACTTGAGAACTTTCAAGTAGTTGACCATTCTTTTTTTCAACAGAATAAAGGAAAATAGTCAACTATTCAAAATTGTTCAAGTTTTAGATCTTTTTAAAAAAAAATCATTGATAGATAATAATCATTGGACTTAAAAACCAAAGTTTAAACTATAAAATAAGCAAAAACATATTTTGAAACTTGCATACAATGTTAAAGAACAACAAATCACAATCCACTAATTATAAAGGACCAATATTATGTTAATTGATTTCTGGTATACGTTTTATGGTAAGAAGTATTTTCTTTATTAATAAATCAAAAGATCTTACAAGATGTTAGCAGCACAATCAGAAGCTGATAAGCCACGTTGAGAAACACTGGTCTGCAACTGAATTCCTCTCTGTGCCTTGTTTTCGGATATTTCAAATGTATTTATAGAAGTTTCATTAAAAAAATCACCAGTTTTGGAAATATAAGTGGAAAATATAAATTGTTTTATATTTCAAGTAATAACTGACCTTTTTAATAAGCTGTTATCTTTTTTTTTTTCTTAAGAAGGTTAACAATTAGAATACTGAAGTGAATAATGCTTGGAGATGGCTTGAATGGGTAATGAAGGAAAACTTTAATATAAGTTTAACATAACAGCAAATGTATAACGTTTTGACAAGGTTTTATCATCGTCATCAGGTACAACGTTGTACATTTGTTGTTATATTAAACTTATATTAGTTTTCTTCATTACCCATTCAAGCCATCTCCAAGCATTATTAGTCTCAAAGTGGGTTCCTCATCATTGAATACTGAAATGAAGTAGCAGATATAGTATTATACTCACACAGACATTTTAATGCAATGTAAAATAAGAGTATATCTTTCAATAAGCACACCATAACTAAGAATCTGAAAACAGAATAATTTGTATATATATATATATATATATGTGTGTGTGTGTGTGTGTATATATATGTGTATAAACACACACACAGAGTATACCCCAACAAAAACAACTCATAAATGCTGAATACTTGACAAGGAACTAATAATTCAAAGCAGTTTCGTATTTATATTCACTATTTTACTAATGTAGCAACTTGTTGCACACCACTCCAGATTTCAAAATAGTAAATTAAGTGTGGATGTACAGGCTGTCCCAGAAGTCTGGACTCGTAGAGAAAAATACAGCATTTATTCTCAATTTATTTATTATTCAAATTGTATGCCATTAAAAGCTATACACATATAAATTCTTGGCATACTGTGCCATCAGGATATTTCTTTCCTGAAATATGTACAACTGACATTAGAAATGTGTTTAACTTTAAGAATATAATGTTTATTTTCCCTATAGGTCCAGACTTTTGGGACACTCTGTATAAGAGAATAGTTCAGAAGTCTTCAGATAATTTTTAATACAATATTTCTAACTTTAGAAAATATTTAAATGTATCAACTTATTTTTTAACAGTTAAAATATAAACTTGCCAAGTTAAATTACTCTCACAATAAAGATCTAAATATTTATTTTGTTGTTTGTTTTTAAAGCTCTCTTAGCAATTTTTTAATCTAATTAAATTAGATAAGTTGTTTTGTTGCTACTACCATATACTACAAAAATAAAACTCAACAGCATTTGAAGTAAGTATTAATAATACACCAACTCTGAATTTTTTAGGTTATAATGTGCTTGATGTTGCAACATATATAAATATTTACCAAACAAAATTAGATTAGTCCCATCAACAACATTCATCTCACTTTGATAACTTTACTGTAGATTGAAACTTTATATTGAAAGATCAAAGACCATATTTAGATATTGTGATTGACCAAAAAATGTTACTAAATACAAATGACCATTTCTGTGAGTTTATTTTCTGTATAGCAAATATGCTACAAGATTTGATTTAGACTATCTCCATTGTTGTGTAAATGAACAAATATCAAAGATTATGTCTGAAAGAACAAAATAAATAAATGTGAGTAATAATGTCAGGTATTAGTATTTTTATAATAATATTATATGTATCTTTGAAACATCCTTTAATTACAACAATTGATGATGCGACACTGATGTTACTTAAATTTCTCATATGTAGATTAAAGGGATGGGATCAAGGGTGAGGAAAATATTTTCACTTGTTCTTTTGGTGTCATTGACTATTACATAGGTAAGAGCAAAATGTTGGAGAAAAGAAGGTGTTGAAAAAATATTTAATTATTCAAACACATCATTTAAATAACACTTGTACCCATGGCTTTAGTCAACAGATTAAGTAGCATTGGTTTTATATCAGGTTATAAACATTAATAACTATCCAGAACATCAGTTTAAGATAGTTGAAGGTTGTTTGCTTTGTTCTGTACATTATTTTTTATCCTTTCATTCACATAAACTTGCTTTACAAATATGACTGTCAGTTAACAAAAAGAGAACTGTTTAAGAGAGTTGTATGTCTATTATCTCTGTTTAACAGGTACTTCTGCGAGTTATGTTTAGACAAAACTCTGTATGCAAGGACAACTTCCAGACAGAAAGCTGACATCTGTTTCTGGGGAGAACATTTTGAATTCAAGTAAGTTGTTATTAAATTCTATTTTCATATACTATTACATCAAAACTTCTACATCTGCAGTACCTAATGAATTGAAAAGAAAGTCTTAAATGAAGGTAAATAACTTTTAGGATTATTTTTATGAAAAATAAGCATACCATTTCTTGGTCTGTTCAAATTGAAGTGAATTTATTATGATGCATTTCATGCAAGTAGAAAATAAAGAAACTGCAGTCAATTGACAAAATAATTTAGTGGAACAGCTCTATGTACCTGTATTTGATACCTTTTTAGTAAATTATTTTAAGGAATTGAAGATGGGAACTTAACTAAGTATTATCAAATTTGTTTATATATGACTTATTTGTTTGTTAATAGAAAACTTTTAAAGATTTGTCAGTAAAGTATTTCAAACATTTTCCTTAAGGATTTTAAAAATGAATTTAAGAAAAGTAAATTTAGTCTATTAGAAAATGCTTATCATGCTAATGGGTGAGGATGAAAAAATTACATAAATATTCAAAAACGTGTGTGCAGAATTTGATATATTTTAAGTATTATAAGCATTTTTTGGCATATACAGTGAGAACAATTTTTCTTCCTAGCAATTTGCCTCAAGTAGATACCATCACAGTCAATTTGTATAGAGAAGCAGACAAGAAAAAAGACGGGATAAAAACACGTTGTTAGGTGAGAGAAAGTCATTTTTTTAAATGACTATTTTTACTGTAGGTCTATTAATAGTATTAATTATAATAAAAAGAGGAACTGCTAAAAAATATCATAATTACTTTTTTGTTATGTTAGTATTTTTTTCACAAAAATGTGGAATTAAAAAAGTTGAAAAAAAGAGCCAATTAACATTTTAGTGAGGTTTTTAGCAAGTGTGTATATGGAGTCTCATTGCTCAAACTTTATTCTTTTGTAAATAGTTTCTCTAATTTCTTTACATTTTTAATTACGTTTGACAGGTGCAGTACAAATTCCTGTGACTAGCGTAAATAGTAGGCACATGATAGAAAAATGGTAAGTTTAAAATGCCTTAAGAATAGGAAAAAACATCTCAATAATTTCTAGAATATTTGGTTTTGTTTCTGATTCATAATACAGTTTTATCCTATTCTACAGTCACAAGAAGCAAGTAAGTTTTTATACCTTAAAATACACAAGTTTAGTTATGTCCTAATTTTGTAATACTTTATTACCTAACAATCATAGAGCTGGTATTTTTTGTTTTTTAATACAATTTGTTAAATTACAATCATAGTATCACCATATATATCTCAGAAACAGCTAATGATTTTTCACTCAGTACTATTGTATGTTTCTACATTGTATTAGGTTGTCAAGAAATTAATGCCGCATTTTGGAACACTTTCATTAACTACCCCCCAAAAAACGTACACCATGTATAATAGTTAAATGAACTGCTTAAATGTCACGTTAGTGTAGCCTGTGATGGCAT